ATATGTCATATTATTAGATAATTGATTAGATTCATTTATTGGCATTTCTATCTGTTGTTGTTCTCGTCTATGATTATCATAATGATTAAATAGATTAACAACATATGAATGTTTTTTATATTTTTTAAATTGATTTTTTTTTCGTAATCGAAGACGAAAACAGAATTTCATCGGTCATCCGTCATGTCAATTCACTAATATATATATATATGTATATACATAATATACAGAGTTAAATAGCCTTGTGCGCGCCTCTTACGTATCTTTATTCCCGCTTTATTCTTTTTTTTTTTTTACTTTGAAAATAAATTACGTACATACTTTCTTTTCATTTGTTTTCTATGTTCACATTATTATCATCATCATCAGGTGCTTGATTTCCTCGAAAGAAGCTTTACTTTAGGATCAATGAAAAGAAGAAAAAGAAAGAAATCTCTAAAGGCCATCTAATAAGACATTCAATGATAAAGGATTGATAAAAGAGAAAAAAAAGAAAAGAATTTATCGTTTTGTCAGTTTTGAAGAAATGAATGAAAGTGAACTTCGAAGTGAAGATTCTCTTCAATCAGTTAAATATTTAGGTAAAGAACGTTCATTATATGCTCGTGGAATAGGTATAGCAAATGTAAGTAAAAATTTCCTATGAATTTAATCTATATTTCTTCTGTTTTTTTTTTATGCAAGGAACCTGTACGTATTGTATGGACACGTTCAAAACAAGGTTCACAGTATAATCGTTGTGCTATATCAATAGATCGATTTGGTTTATGTATATATGAAGAAATAGCTAATGAAACATATAAAAATGTTTGGTGTGATGCTATTGAAAATATATCATATTGTGTTGCTGAACCAGTACATCGTCGTATATTTGCATGGATTGCTCGTTCACAATATTCCAATGAACTTGATTGTCATGTTATACTTTGTAAAACAAGTAAACAATCATGTTTACTTGCTGACTTATTAGCAAAAATATTCTATGAAACATATCATTGTGGACAAAAACGAATTACTAATTTAACACCAAAGTTATTAGATCGTTGTTCTGTATGTGATACTATGAATCGACAACAACAATTAAATAATCGTTTATTGTTAAATCGAAATTATTCTCATCGACCATATTATAATAATCATATTGAAGAAAGACAAGAAAATGAGAATTATGAACATAAATCATGTCATGAATCTATGATTGCACGAGCTTTTGTAAGAAATTATGAAGAAAATTCAATTAATAGCAGTAGACGTCAAAGTATTGATTTTGATTCAATATTATCTGATAAAAAATCAATTAAACCAGTTGAATATTATCGAAGATAGATATTTTTACAATGAATAAAATCTATTACAAGATGTTGATTTATGTATTAGAACCAAGGGCAAAATCGAACATAGATATTAACGTATTCTTAAGTCCATATGACATTTTTCTCATCGGTTCTTCATTTTTTTTTTGTTTTATATTGTTCTTATACTCGAAATGAATGAATATGTATATATATATATATGTCAAAACACCTGTGCAAAATAAAACACCTACATAAGCTGAATTGATATTTTAAATAAATAAATCAAAATTAGGTTTTTTTTTTATATAGAACAAAAGTGTATAAGATAATTGAATGATGTTCAAAAAAAAATTCAAATCTCATATAGGATAAAACCTAATATATTAAATGACAACATCATGAATTTTGATTAAATTAATATGTTGAATGTTTGGTTACTATCTTAAATTGATGATCATTTTCATTATTCAATGTTTTTGTTTGAAAATTTTTTGAAAATCTTTTCTAAATTTTCATATTTCGTATAAATATAAAAAAAAGAAAATTGTATAGAACCTTGTATTTCTTTCTTGTTGTTATTAATAAGTTTGAATGTACTAAAAAAAATATAACAGTTCCATCATTTATTCATAAAGACCAATAATAATTTATTAATTTTGATTGATTCCATTTTGACAATTCATTATTCCTTATTTACTATAAAAAAAAAAATATTTTTTTTAAGTGTGCGTGCTGTAGACACAAGAGTGAATTGCAAATTCTTGGTACACTTGAAATTTCAGCTGTATTTTCCTAATAACTTTTCTTCTTGTCGAATGATTTGGAGAGTTTTTTTAAATGTTACTCGTCTCTCGGAATGTCTCACACCCACACCGAATTCCAGCTCTCTTGCTCATATTGCTACTGACTTATGGAACTCTTTTTGCGAAAAAAAAATGGTGTTTTGTAGAGAGATGTGCTAAGACAACGCATAGCCCATTCTATACAATCTAAAATATACTTTCTAAAGACATATCTTTCTATGGCCATTCGCCCTAAAGGCTTTATGAAAGACACTTGCTCATTTTCGTGTAGAACGATAATATTATTTTTCAATTTTCTTCGTCTGGTCACGAATGAATGGAAAGCGAAGGTATTCAAAAGAGAGATTGTTTTGTGGCGAACAAATTAATTAAAGAAAAATCCTGTCTTGAACGACTATCCTTTTTGGTAAAAAGAAAGCGAACTTGACCTAAAATTTCGAGTTTCACTTGCTTTCTAGAACGACATTTTTGGTATGATGTTTGTTTCAAAAGTGGATCAATATGAGTTGTATTTTATACTTATTCGTTTTGTTTCACGATGGAATATTATCCTATTTTTATTCTGAACATAGATTTTGAATTAAAACGTAATTTTATCGCATAGAGTTTAAGTGAAGTGTTGGAGCTTATAGAATGATAATTTTTATTTGACATTTCGAGTAATACCGAGTCGACATCACTTGCAAATCCAAAGAGATGCGGCTACATTCCTTTTTGGGCTTTATAGTTAGATATTGAATCAAGATAATGTAAAGTATCTGAATTAGTTGATGAAGGTTGTTTGTTTATTTGTTTGTTTTGAGCTGATAACGTTCATAAGCAAGGGACCAAATTCTGGATGCGACATGTTAAACAGCATTCTAGTGTGATCTCTTCAAATAATAGAGATCGAAATGAAGCACCTCTCTGATTCCCATAGATATGATCTATGATGATCAGTATGGTCTTATCGAAATCCATTGGGCAACTATTTGAAAATCCCATGTTAGAGTAATTTTTAAGGACATAGTAACGCCTATTTATGTAGAAAAAATGGTGGTCAAGTCTCTTCAAATAGTGGAGATCGAAGGTATACAAGTCAGCCATCAATTACTCTGTACCCTATGTCTCATACACCCTTTACCATATGTATGTTGAAATCAGTACGATAATCACTATTATAACCAAAACTATTACCTAGGTAGATAATGGAATTAATTGCCTTTCTTATTATATATAATTAGTGCGGGTTTTCTTATGATTTTCAAATAGGACCGATTTTGCTAGGAAATCCACTTACATTCTTTAATAAAGTCTTATCCTCTTTCTCATCGATCTTAATCATTTAGTTCGTCTATACCTTTCTTCCTCACGTCTCACATCATCTTGTTAATCTTCTTCTCTACTTTCCTGCATCTACACTAATCTTCTTTATCTATTTCATTTGCTGGTTTCGTTTTCACTTTTCCTTCTCATATTACTTGTTTTGCGTCGTTCACTTGCCTCAATTTCACCATTCAATTCGCTTGTAACGTGTTTCTTTTTTCATTTTGTTTATTCGCGTTGACTTCCATTGCCGAATCTCATATCTTTTTATACACTAGATAGACGAACAGTGCACAAATAAAGAATTCAATTTTTATCAGTGTGATAAGCGAAATGGATGCAGTCCTCGTTACCTTTCTTACATTTCTAACGCTTGTCAATGGTCAACTCAGTACGTAGTTGGACTTGCTAGATATTTTTTCATTTCATTTATTGATAATTGCTCAGATTGTTCACTCTACAATCCATGCGGTCACCATGGTTCTTGTCGGGATGATGCAGCTGGTAAATGGACATGTGAATGTAAATTTTGGTGGGATGGCGCGACCTGCGATATTCGTGAGGAGTATTCATGTTTAATGATTAGAACCGAGATTCCTTTTTTTCAGAGACAAGCAGCGGAATGCAAGTTATTGCACTCGGTTGTCTTCTGGGCGTACTCTTGATAATTCATAATGGCTTGATCATTTTTCAAAAAATACGCAATAAGAAACGACAGAAAAAAGAAAAGAATGAGTGAATATTTTCTGATCTTTTGCTTGTCCATCGTTCATGCCGTTTGTCTTCTAGGGAAGAGTTGAAAGATTCGAAATTGTTTGATTTAGCCCTGGTCCATGTCAAACGATCGGCTAGTATGACTTCTTGCCTCATTGTAGCACTCATGCTGCTCGTTGCTGCAGGAGCTCTTGTCGCAAAATGGACCATTCTGCGGCCGATTCATGATGAAATGGTATATAGATTCAGAAATAATTTATCACTATACTATGATCCAAATCCACTGTGTCACATCATCAATATTAACGGAGTTAACCGAATCACTTTTCCTGCGGCATGCTTATTAATTATTATATTTATCATAAAAACGAAACGAACATCATTGCTGCGCAATTATTGCAATGGATACGGAGCACCACCGATACCTACCGATTTTCTTTCTCCCATCCATCGCAAATTTACTGCAGTGATTTTTGCTATTTATGCCGATGAGCTATTTGATATTGTCAGAAACATTTTCAAAGATACAGAAGAAAAAGCAGATGGTGTTATTTTAACTCAGCTACTACATATTTCCCAAGTATTGATTATCGGCATTCATTACTATCCACTTTTAGCTGCTATCCATCTTCATTCGATTTTTACATTAATATGTGGTACACTTTATGCATGGCTTGACTATTCACTGACCATTGTCAATCAAGGTATGTGTAAATTCGATTACTATCCAATTGCTAACACCTATAAAGATACGTCCAATGGCAGTAGTCTGATCTATATGCTGAAATACTACGGTACTGGTTCATCGCTAATTGCTATTCAATTATGTACTGATATTCCACGCTACTTATGTTTGGCCTATGTAAGCGTGAAATTACCTGTAATGCTCATCGGAAAACTCTATCGTCGATTAAAAAGAAAAAGATTATCAAAAGAAGAACAATTTCGAATCGAATTAACACAAGAAGAACGTGTACTTCTACGCGCATCAGATCCGAATTCAGCTGAAATGCTGTACGTTCGAAATTTATTTCGTTCGGCCGATAAACGACCACGTAGTGATGCACTTATTGCTCGTCTTATACCAAAATTTATTTATGAATGGCGAGATGATTTTCATTTTTCATCTCGTGTTCTTTGTGTCTATTCATCGATTTGTCTTCTTCTCTTTTTTATTGCCATACATGTATGTATTGAAACTATACCATATTTACATGCATTTCAAGGAACACTTCAACAATTTGTTCAGCACATATCGAGTTCAAACAAAGTACATGGCAATACTAATGAAGTCAAAGAACAAACATCGTTATTTATCGTGCCACAATTGGTTCGACCATTTATATTAGCAGTAGCAACAACTGCAATAATCATCATCATACATTTGTTAGCATTACTTGCTAATATTCGTCGAAATCTTTTTCAATCATTTCGTGGTGATTGTTGTGAAATACCACGACGGCAACGATCAAAATATGTTTCCTATGCAACGGGTAATATACATTTTGCCGGCTTTTTTATCGGCTATTTTATTTGGGGTCTTATTTTAATTGGAACTTTTTCATGCCTTTTCTGGATAAACATCGAAGCTTTCATCACATATGGTAGTGTTCGATTAGTAGAAATCATTTCCAAACTTGTCATTCCAGTTATTCTATTGTTTTCTTTCAAAAAATATCTGAATAAATTATTATGCCAATATATTTTCCTTCGACATTCTGGTCAAGTACTATCGATTAATAATCGTCGTATATTGATGATTTTTATTTTTTTCAATTTCTTCTTGGATACCTTTATCGGTTTTATTTCATCAATTCTTCGATTAATTAAAAGTGTCATTGTTGGAATAATTTTCATGTGCCGAATAGATTATTCGCCATTAGGACGTCAATTGGAATCATTTGATGCTGGTTTCAAAGCCTATTGCGGTTTTATTCATACGGAATGTGCTCATCGACATCCAGTCATGTTAGTCTTTGCTTCGCATCTTCTTTCTCAAGTGAAACTTAAACAAGCTGTGGTTCGTCGTACAGCGAATACTTTCAAGGATTTGGCCACTATTGAAAAGAACTCTTCGATGAAGATGATGTCTAATGATGAAGAGAAACGATCTAGACGAGTCATTCGTAAATGGCAATTGGGCGTATTTCTCACTCGTAATCCAATGATTGTATTCTTTCGAAAGGCGTTTCTCAATCAATTACACATCGATGAAATTCATCTATTGAATGATGTTGATGGTGACATGGACCAGAATAGGAATAGGATGTTGCCTCTAAACACACGTCTCATGTCGGTCCGTACTCCAAGTATCGCTTCACAAACTGATTTGAAGTTCTTTGAAGTATCTTGATTTTGATATACAAAAGAATTTGTCAAGATGCAAATAGAACCTATAATTGAACTCAATATAGCAAAAGTTTTTCTTGAATTTAAAATAAAATGATTTCATTAACAATAAGGTTTTTGATACATGCAGCAGTCAGACTGGTACTCAGTCGGAATGGGTATCCAGTGGGATCGACATCGAGTCGACTAGTCGGAACTGGGACTGATGTATAACTATATAGAATATGGCGTTCAGGTTTTATCTCAAAGCTATCGCAACACATGAGACAAATAATAACTCAATCATTTACATCGTGGTTATAAACAGACATCTATTGAATCAACTATGTATGGCTTTTAGTTTTGTAGTTGTTTCAAGAAAGGTAAGGTATACTATTTTCCTTTCCTAATATTTGTATTATGTAATGTACATGAAAGAAAAAAAATGAATACTTTAATCTATATAATCCATATAGCATAAAAACCAGTCAAATTGTTATGAAACATAAGATTAAATGGATTGTGTCGAGTTTCGTTTTTCTAAATTTAATATTTTTCAAGGGTTAATTTCTGCTGATGATATATAGATCATAATGCAACAATCCGTTTTCTTGTTTATTTAAAATTAATATTCATGAATGAAATCGTTCGTTTATATATATAAAACACTACCACCATAAATATAATTTCCAATCGAGTTGCTTTAACATACATTTACGAAGTAATGTCTCGGACTCGACAAGCTTGTTCAAATGTCGGAAAGCAATGCTACTCGCTCTTGAAAAACACAATGAGATCAAATGATCAGTATTCTGATTAGTTGTTTCCATTAGGAATCGTACCATCGGTTCCATATCTTTTATCAGTGTATTTATTGTAAGATTTTTCAGCCGTGGACACAAAGCAACAAGCAATTTGACTTTTTCTAATGTACATCTGTTTTTGAAAGTCACATCCGTAATAGTATTTTTACTAGATACTAATCGAAATATTTCACTTTGTTGAACTGATACATAATCATTTTTATACAAGGGCATTGATGTAAACGTCAATGTACGAATATTACGTATAAAGCGTAATAGTTCGATAATTTTTATAAAAGAAAAATGGTCGCATTGAATGTCTAATTTGGTCAATTGTTTTAAAGGAATAACGCGAGCTAGAATGATCGCAATCGAACTACGACTAGTAGTAAAGTTATCTTTAAAAGAAAGCTTAGTAACATTTGGAAAATAACAGATACAATTGATCAATTCTTTTTCACTTTGGATTTCAACATGATCAACTGACTTCAGATTTGTTTCATAACCACTTAAACAGGTTGTTTTATTTTGATATTTCTGTAATGTGTAAGTCTTTCCTCTAAAAGTAAAGAATAATGCATAATGTATTGAAAAAATCTGATTTGTTTATACCTGTAAGGATTTGTTGAATAGAAGGTTGCATAATTCCCATATCTTGTTTGATAAAATCGGTATTCAAAAACCCATTGTCGTTCGATCCAAAATGGAGATGTGAACTGATTAATTTGAGCTTCAATATCCAATTGATTATTATTATGATCTATCAAAAACTCGAGCCAAATATCAAAGATGCGTAAATTTGGTAAATGACATAATATTAGTTGTTTCCATCTGTTACTATCTATATATACTATATCTGCAGTAATGCGTAAAACTTGAAAGGAAAGAAATATATTTATGATAAGTTGTTCCGGTCGATTAAATGTAATGAGAAATAATTTGAGAGAAACATGTGTCAGATGGTTTAATGTACTTGGATATATTTTTGTTTGTTTTCTGTAAGATTTATGTAATGAATAAAACGATAAACGACGAAGTTGAGGCACGTACGATATTAAACTATTAAGTTGCTCGCACCGTACCGTATTGTTGATAATAAGATGTTCAACTGGACTGTATTCATTGGTAGCAACTGGTAGTGGGTCAGGGTGAACAGATCCTTTCAATGATAATTTACAATATTTCAATGCAGGTAGACGAAATATTTGACGATAGATAGTGTTTTTATTAATAACATTATCAATAACAGAAGTAATGATTAATGAAGAAAGAAAGGGTGAAGAAGTTAATTGATATAAAAGATTTTCAAGACAATATGATTCAATATTATCAAGAATAAGTGTTTCAAGTCGACGAAATTTCAGTATTTTATGAAATAATAGAAAAGCAAAATCATCATAAATGAAAAGATTTGATAAACGAAGTAAATTAATTCGATGTCTATTACGTATAATGATATCTTTGTAATATCGTTGTAAAGCCGATTTGGATATTGATGAAAGGTTAATTTGAATTAGAAGAATTGAATTCGTAAGAAGACTATGAAAACGTTGATTAAGATTGAAGAAGGCCTTATATACATGGAAGTAATCGAGAAATTCAAATATCTCATAGATAAGTTCATTAGAAAGATGTTCGAAGTATGTTATAATTTCACTTGATAAACTGGAAAAACACAAAAATTGTTCTAAAGAATATATTCTAACCACTCATCAATTGTTTTCAACTATTGTCACTAGAAAAAAAGAAATGATGATAAAAACAACAATCAGATTTGTCTTTTACCTTGTAGCTTTTTTCTCCTATCGTTTTCATCATCATTATCATAACTATTGCTTCGGTCACATTTGATTTGTTCCATAATGAAATCTAGAATAATAAAATAGATATTTACATACATGTGCCATTTTACGTCAGATATAAACTCAATGCACAGAACAAACATAAAAATGCGATAAGAAAAAAAAATACAGATTGAATGATTCATTTAAAAGGAAGTACACAAATCATCTATGCTAGTGAATTTTACTTGAACTTTCAGTCAGATTTTATATTTACAGACAAACAAATCTAGACATTTTTTAGAGTGTATCATTATAGAATTGCTTGATTAATTTTATTTCAATTTTTAAAATGTTACATGTGCCTGCATTACTATCTATCATAATAAAAATGGAAGCACAATACAAATGAATATAAAAAGAATGCCACAGAAAATTAAAATTTATGTAAAAATAATATTCACAAATAAAATATTTTGTTCACATAAATAAAATACCATCATCATAAATGTAATTTTGTACCTGCCAGCTGTAACATATAATCATCAAACAGTATCCTAGACTTGATAAGCGATTCCAAATGTCGAAGATAATTATTATTCGTTGTTGAAAAATACAATGAGATCAAATGACAAGTATTCTAATTAGTTTTTTTCATTAGAAATTGTATCATTAGTTTCATATCTCTCATAACTACATCTATTGTAAGATGTTACTTTGTTGAATTGACATATAATCGTCTTTGTAAAAACATATAGATTCAAATATTAACGTATAGATATTAGGTGTAAATCGTAATATTTCGATTACTTTTTTTAAAAGAAAAATAATAGCATTTAATCATTAATTTAGTCAATTGTTTCAAAGAAATAGCACGAACAAGAATGATCGTAATCGAATGGAGAGTAGTAGCAAAGCTGTTTTCGAAGGTAAGCTTTGTAGCATTTGAAAAATAGCTCATATAATTGATCATATCTTTTTCACTTCGTATATATACATGATCAACTGATTTCAGATCATTTTCGTAATAGTTTGATTGAATTCTTTCGTCCCATGGTTTATGTAATGTTTAATCCTTTCTTCTGAAAATGAAAAATTATATAACTATTGTTACATACTGTAACCAAAAATTTAATCTATAATATCTGTATGGATCTGTTGAATAGAAGTTTGTACTATAACTTCTATATTTATGACGACAATATTAAAGAGCAGAAAACCATTCTTGTTCAGTCCAAAATGGAGATATAAATTGATTGATTAGAGCACCTAAAGTGAGTTGAAATATTATCATTATTATTGTTAATAGACATATTACTTGACCAATGTTCGTGTTGTATGTCAAATATATATTTACTTCTTTTATTTAAGAAAAAAATTGAATAACTTTTGTATGTATTTACATTCTGAAGACGAGACACCGTGATGTTTCGAAACGTTATCGCAAATCTCTATTCTATTATTATTTTTCTGTTTTTTTTTTTCAGTATTATTTATATTGTATGTGTGAATACATAGTTGTTTGTTTAATAAATACAATGACAATCATTCTGACTTGATTTTTGCAGTTTTTTAGATGTTTCAAAAACTATCCTGACATAGTTAATATTTTCACCAATGTATAGTATCTGTTTATTATTTCAAATGCTTTCTGTTACTTGTGTATGTAAAATTTTCAAAACATCATGCTTCAATCATCAGTATACTATATCCATCTTCTCAAAAGGCAACATAATTTCTATCTATCTAATATTATATTGCTAATACACCAATGTATCATAAAATTATGGACACTATTCCCTATGACGAGTACGATGGTGTCGTGACCTGTATTATCATCTCCTTACTTCATTAATTATCGTTTTCCTCATATTTATATCTTCCGAATGTAATTGAATTTCAAAATACGAACTTCAGATGTGTACTCATCACATTCTCACCATCTCAGCAAGATTTTTTTTTCGATTTGAAATAATGTTCGACTATTGAGAACAACCGACTAACTTGAATCGTGACTCATGCGTTGCAAAGCGAGCATCGAGTCATTAATCGTCATTAACGAGTTTGTACTGAACTGACTTGTTATTGTTTGAATTAAAATTTTTGCTGGCGATTTTCAAGCTTTCCAATTTTTATTTTACATCTTCAATCTTTACCTTAAGTTTTTCATTTCCAATTTACTCATTTTTTGTATTTCTAATTGCAATGCAGAGTCTCCGAAGAGTGTTGATATTTAAATAAATAACATGAAATACGTCGGTGAACTAAATTTCTGTATTATTTACTTAGTTTTCAAGAACAATTTTTCGTTAATTAATTGAAACCTGGGAAAGATCGATTGCTGAATAGCAAGGGCTTGGATTAGCAGATTGACTTGTACCAAAGACATATAGATCAGTCTACTTTTTGATTGATTTACTCTCACCCTCTACAAATTCCCGAAATACTCAATAATTATTCCAAGTTTATAATATAGAAAAACAATCATATTATTTGCGCTTTACTACATATTTCTTATTGGAATTTGTTTCACTAAACATAGGATGTGGATATATAATTTGGTAGACAAACCCTACAATCATTTCTTAAAAGTATCAATAAAATAATTATTGCTGCAGTTGTTTGTTGAATGCTTCAACATTCATTGTAATATTGTTTTTCTTATTCGCAATAGACTAAATCTTTTTATTTGATATCGAATATAGCACTTAATCAATATTTACATTAAAATCAAAAAAATAAAATCATCTTCCACTTATAGTAAGATTACCACAAATACGTAATAAGATTATGATAACTGTGTTTAAAAATAACATATTGCAAAAATGTGGTTCTAATTCACATGCGCAATATTAATATGCCCTATTAAAATAAAACACAAGAACTGAGAGAAAAAACAACAGGTTTTTAATTACTTACTAAGCATTAATGTGACCCAAGATGAATAAAACAAGTATTTTAAACAACTAAGTAACACGAATAT